TTTTGGGAAGAAAAAATAAAAAAAAAAAAAAAAAAAAAAAAAATATATATATATATATATATATATACACTGTATATATAGCTGCAAGCAGCAATTACAGGGCCAAGCACTACTGAAGCAAGCGTCAGACCAACAGCAGAAATTAGTAATTGAAGCAATTTTAGGATGATTTTAGTCAAAACGGCTGAAAACTCATAAATACAACCTCTAGTTACATGATTTATTAGCTTATCACATTTGACCAATAGGTGGCGCTGTTATCAAATCGATGTGTTGTGTTCTGTGTGAGTTGACAATGGCACACAAAAAGTTTGGTGTCAATATGTTGTGACGTCTGCTTAAAATCATGGATGATCATTGGGGTTTTATGTCGAGACCCCTCTTAGCCTTTTGACATTTGCATATAAATTACAGTCCTGGCCCCAGATTCTACATTTATATGGGTGCTAAATGGCCAATGGTTCCCCCACTATCAAGGAGATGCTAAACAGTTTCACCACTCTCGTCTCCCCACTGAACTTCAAACACATTCCAAAGAGATGTAAATGACCCCCGGGGCCAGGCACCAATGGGCCTGGCTGACCAGCAAACTACAACATGCTCACATAACACACACACACACACACACACACACACATAAAGACATTTTTTTTATTTAGACTATAATTAATCAGTTACAATTGTATCTAGTATATGCATGTGTTGTTTGTATGTTTCCCTATTGTATTAGCCTAGTTAAAACTCTTTATTTGTATTAGTTAGACTCTCAATGCGTATATTCAGGTATATGAGTGTATCTCTGCTTTAAGATCTTCTAGATGTTTCGTTCTTGGTATCAAAATGATCTGCTCTTTATTCCTCAAACAATGATCTACACTATGTGATCGTGAACTGCATCATACTATTTGTAGCATATTTTGGGGCACCAATTCTCCAGACCAGCAACAAGTTTCTCCCGCTCAAAATTCATGCCTCTGATTGGCCATTCCACCCAAAAGGTGGGTGTGGATAGGAACTTTCAAAAAGTCATTAGTTCAGACTAATCTCTGCTCAGAAAACCTTTTTTGAGACGGACACTTTCCAAGACTCCTCAAAACTCTGACAGCAAAACTGCAGTTTTTCATCTTCAAGTAACTCTGTCGATCCGCTGTGGACTTTCCTATCTTCAGAAGAACCAGAGGAAAACTTCCAGCTCACTTCTAAAAGAACTCATCAAGAACCTCCGTTGTCTACCGCATCAGGACTCTTGTTCAGCAATCGAAGCCAATGCAAGTAACCGTTTACAACTATTTAGATGCGTATTTAAGCTTGAGCCCCTTTTAAGGTGATTTTTGATTCTTTGATGATTCTCATTAGGTTGTGGTTAATTGATGTGAAATACTGCCATTCTTTTGTTCTTCCCTCTCTCTTCCTTACTTTCCTTCATTCTGTATATATATATACATATATGTGTTTTGCTTAGTTTAGTTATATGTTAGATATAGTTTCATTTATTAAATCCCTTATATTCACAATTGATTGTCTCTGTGTGCTGCTCACAATTCGAAGTCACTGAATGTTTGAAGTCTTGCTACATGCTAAATTACTGCTAGTACTGCATAAAGAAGGAAAGCTATTGTTCCTTGGCCAGGAAAATAATCTTTCCTTGAATTGATAAATTATTATATTGTCTGCTCGGTGGACGGACAGATGAAATAATTGTAATAATGATTCTGCTACAGTTAATTCTAAGATCTAATCTAAATATTTATTATTACTCATAACCAGTTATAATTAGTCATAAATATTTCCCTTTTGAGCTGATTTACTACAATGTCAAAGCATTGCAGAGATACAGCCTCAAGTGACATTTTGGCATCATGCCTCAAATTCGTTGCTGTGGTATGCGAAAACGGTTTTGTCTATCAACACAAAATCCATAACTTTTTGTCAGCATGGTCTGAAGATAATATGATTCGATTTTGGTGAAAATCGGACCAACAGTCTAGGAGGAGTTTGAGAAAGTATGTTTTTAAAGAAAATCAAAATGGTGGACAGGAAGTTTTGGCTGACTATGGCAACATTGGTATCACTGTTCTCAGCATGATCCAAGGAATCTATTAATACCAGTCTCATTACAATAGGCAAAATTCACAGAAAGCTATTAGCATTTATTTGACATTTCATTATAACTGTTGACCACAAGGTGGCACTGTCCTTTTTGAGTACTTTCAGGTCATGGTCTCGATGGTACATACAAAGGTTCGTAATGGTACACCAATGCATTTGTAAAATATAGCATTTTATATCATAATAATCTATTGTAGTCAATGGCAATTTCATGTTTTGTTCAATTATAGCACCACCAAGAGGCACAAACCAACCAAATGTTTTATGTGTCCTTAGAGTGTGCCCATACATATTTTTGTCAAATTTGGTGAAAATATCTCATTTTGTTTTGGAGTTATAGACATTTTTATATATGAGAACAGAAAAAATGACTGATTGCCGACTTTGTTTGCATTTATTTGCCACTTACTATCAAAATTTTGGCAATGGGGCATTGGCGTTCAACCGGCATGCTATGTTTTATAATTTCCTACGGTGGTTTTGTGTTGATCGGAGTAACGGTTTCTAAGATATTGGCAAATGTTTTTTAAGCACTAAAATGCAATGTTGCACAAACCATAAGGCAAAACCTGGCATGTTTGGTATCGCTGGATTCGGCAAGGATTCGGGAGTCTAAAAAGGTGACTACTGTGAAAATAAGTCGACCACACCCAAAGTTATAAGCATGTGAATATTTGATCTTACCACTAGGTGGCGCTGGCTCGAAACTTTTCAGGCTCCTTCAGGGCATTGTGCTGATGACCCATACCAAGTTTTGCAACGATACGTCATTAGTTGCGTCCCAATTCATAAGCTGTGTCCCAAAGTTGAGTGTGCACACTTCGAAGGCCACCGAAGTGCACAATTGGGCCCTCCGAAGTGAGTGAGATGCTCCACCTTCGCAGTATTTCCTAATTCCGCCACCAGGTGTTCCCGATTACCGCTTTGTTGCATAGCAACGGTGTGAGAGGAGAGCTGACGAGAGGACAATCCTGCCAGGATAGGTGGAGCCAGAATTGCTCATTTTTGTTTTTATGTTTTACGTCATAATGGAGGAGATGGTGATGTACCTCAGGCTTAGCCAAGACCGAGGCCAGGAAAAGTTACACTGGTTTGCTGCGTCCTTTGTCGGATTACAACTTTAAATGCAGGTATTGGCTTGGAGCTTACTTGAACAATGTAATGATACATATGAAAAACTACAAAATACACACACACACATAGCAGTTCAAATGCTGACTGATATCTTACAAAGGTGCG